TGTATATTCCAGATTTTTTTAAAATATTCCAGATTGTATATTCCAGATTTTTTAAGGAAAACTCGAAGACTGAAAAAACCTGCACAAGATGGACAGCTTTCAGTGGGTCATAGACTATTCCATTAATTTCTAATTCTCTTTTATACATCTTCATTTCGTCCTCTTCCATGAACAACTGCCAAGCCTGTAAATTTCATCACGTTAGATAGGCCTATTTTTTATCATCTAAACTATAGACTGCGTAGTTTTAGCTTTCTAAAGAACGAAAGTGAATTTTTTTAAGAGTGAAAAATCATTTAGAATGAATTCCAACCGCTCAACAAACAAGGTATGTATATTGCTGATGAAATTCAATAAAGTATCCACTAACTACTAAAAAGTTGAGAGAAGCTCATGAAAATGTTTTATAAAACAAAGGTAATGCTCGTGTAGTTTTGATTAGATCACAAAAATTTATTCGTGATTTTTTAAGATCAGCATAGGCGAATTTATCCTAAGGAAAATTTTTTCTTTTTTTTCCACTTAATTTTTAGATTTCATAGCAGAATTACCTGAATATTTTGGTACAGTGCATTTCTCTATTTGCTAGTTCCGAAATGTATATAACTTAGTCCACGATGCCGACCACAAAATAACTTATTTCATCTACCTAATGCAACTAGAACATGAAATTTTGTATTCAAATGCAAAATCTAACATCGTCATAAATAACAGATCGGGCATATTTTAATTGTTCCATCGCAATGTGGTTGATTTCTGTTGCAAATGGATTTGATGCGGGGAGAGTAACATCTTTGGGTGGTGATTCAGCGATACCAGGATAATTTTCATTACCACTCTTCATCTCAGTTCGCAATGTTGAACTAGTTATCCTTGCTGCTTCTTTCCCCTGGAATTACAGCAAAATTAATTAAAATGAAGCGAATGATAGGGAAGACGATGCAACGCCATGCCTAAATCAAAAAACTAAAAATCTACCCTAGAAATCTGGCAATTTTAATACTAACGCTACGGCATCGCATCTTCTGATAATGAAAAATCGGAATAATATTTAACAACCAAAGAACTGTTAGAAAGTACCACAAAAATTCAACTTATTTTCCGAAATAAAATGCATAAATACATAAGAAACATTATCAGTATTCGCCTTCTGATTAACATGAGACATAAGAATGTATTGATAATTCAAAAGAAAAATACATGAAATTTGAAAACTGTTAGGTCAAAAAAGCTTTTATTAATACACTACCCAACTATCCTATATACAGGATAGATATGTTTACCACAGGATAGACATGTTTACCATTGAAAATACGTAATCCATCTAATGAAAAATGACAAATTTTGAATTGCTAAAGGTTTTTCACAATTACGTAATTTATTACCCACTGAATGATGAATGCTTAGCATTTTTTATCTTTTAAAATCTAAACCAACAAAGGCTGGAACAGATGTCGGATTATCGAAATCAAATTTACGTTCAAATTAAATTTCTACGATATCTACCAGACAGGTAATGAAATCCTGTAAAATTAAGGCAATGAAAAGTATATAAGCTAACAATGGACGGAATATAACAAAGACATTCAGTACTTATTCGTAGCTGCACAATGGAACATGCTAAGGGGCAGCTATACCTCCATGATAACCCTGATGGATCTTACCAAAGCTCCTCTCCTAATCTTAGGTATATATATTTATATGTATATGGAAAAAATTTTACGCAATTTTCACAACCAAGTAGATCACAACATCCTCTTCACCTATCCGTTACCATCGAAAACAAGTTACAATAATCCTCTTCCTCAGCTTAACAGATACCTTCCCTGCAGCATATACTCAGCTCGACGAAGGACAATCTCTTATATCTCAATTATTATACAACCTATCAATAAACCGACAGCCAACTATTATAGCAGGCAACGATAAGGAATTTATTAAATTGTTTATATTGCTTGTTTACTGTATAATTCATTACTGCCAATTTACCAATGCTTACCAAATTTGTTTACCAATTCATTACCTGCTTACCAATCTGCGTATCATATATTTCATTGGTTTTTTTTTTTTTTTTGCTTGTTTGTTTAACTTAGTTAATATTGTGCAAGAACAATATTACATCCCGAATAAATCTGCGTTACTAGCAGACGAACAAATTAGCTTTTCCGACAGCAGGTCTCAATGGAAAATTATGAAAGTAAAATCAAGTAATGTAAAAAATGATAGAACACTATGTTAACCATTGTATTAAGAATAAGTTCAAAAATGAAAAAAGATAACGAACTG